AGAGCGAAACGTCACAGATTACCCGGCATGCCTGAGAAGTACCCGTATGTGCGCTCATAGCGCATGCGCAACTTTAACCATGCCCCCCAAAATGCTCGTTCACATCAAGCACGTCAATTTGCGTACACGTAACAGCACCGCACGTTCATGACAGCATGGTAATGTTTGTTATGATAGATTTGATATTAACGAGGCGGCAGTTAGCAGCTAGCGGTTAGCTAGTAATTATGCTAATTTACACATCAATCGTTATGTACTTTTATATTACGCTGTAACAGGATCTAGTGATATCCAAGCAACAGAGCTTCATTTAGCATGAAAGAATTATTGCACTGTATATATATATATATATATATATATATATATATATACACACAGTGCAATAAGCTTCTTAGTGCAATAAGAAGCTACAGGGACGTTAATCTACGTCGGTAATATTAACTTTATTTAATACAACATTTACGGTACAAGATTTAATCATACAGCCCATGTAGTATAATATGTTATAAATGATGAATTACAGCAAACATGTGCAATATATCCATTATTACAGCTCCGTGGGCTGGCAGTAAGGCGATATGGGTCCGTTCTTATTGTGCATCCATGGGTAAAGATAAACGCATGTAGTGCTGAACACGTAACATGAACGTGCCGGGCGGCGCGGTCCCGTGGGTTAGATGCGCGTTCATAATGCAGAGGGAAATAACTCTCAGAATAACGTTATTAGCACATTTTACAACTTGAGGAACGAATGTTTTTAATAAGGGCTATACAAGTGTTCATACTGGGTAGTTTATTTAGTTTAAAAAAAATTATCCAACGATTTACAGACCACTCTTTCCCCATGTAAGTCAATGGGAAAAAGTGTTTCCGGGCCTGGCAACCAAAAGGAAGTGTAGTACCGCCGTTTGGCCAGCACGAATATTTTCATCAGAGTCCGGCGCATTTCCTGGGGGCTTGGTCCGTATAGGTCGGCGTCTGGGTCCGGATCCGGACCGCGGTCCGCCTGTTGCCGACCCCTGCACTACATCTACAAAGACAAGAAAACCACTTTGATATAATACAAAATAACTGCAAAGAGACACATAGCCTACTCACAGAGATGTGTAATGACTAAAAAGAGCGACTAAACAACTATACAATCTGTGTTTCTGCTTTTTAGGAAAGATACATCATTGTATCTCAGTTCCTATGGTGCTTTGTCTAATAATCCAAATGTTGTAGCAATGTTACTCTTTTTCAAATATATTTTGTAAAATGTGATTCCATTTTTCAGAGTGATTTATGTGAGTTTCCAAATAGTAATGTAGCGGAGAGTAGGGATTGACAAAAGGCTATTCACGTTGGAACCTTTATATACAGTGGCGGCCGGTCCATAGGGGCGCTAGGGGCGCCGCCCCACCTCTTCCCATATTAAAAAATAAAAATAAAAAATATATTTTAAAAAATATATATTTTTTTATTTTTATTTTTAATGAACAAGGTAAATATTATATAATTGGTATCAATAAAATGTATAATCTACAATAAAATCTCGTTTAAAATTGTGTTACGATGTCTAAAGTTACTGATAAGTCACATGTTTCCTGCCTGGCCTTGCCCGTGTACCTTCTCTCGTCTGGGCGCTAAGAGAGGAGCCCTCAACCAGTGCAGCAGCAGCCACTAGCAGCTGACTGTTGCTATCTGTAACGTGTAAACTATGCCGCGAAAACATAATTTCAGCCAATCAGCGTCGTCAAATATGATGGTCACAGGGCTCCTACGTGAGCGCCCGGTGCAGTCTGTGAGTTGTTTGGACTCGTATCCAAGGAGACAAAACAGGAAGCTGTCATACACTCTGGAAGCTACAGCTAATGAAAACTCCGTTTTTGACATAAAAATGGAATTATGGATCATCAATCATTTTTCAAAGTGACAGACACATTGGATTAACCTATGGATTAACCTTCAGCTGCGTTTTTCTCGTTTTTGATCAGAATTGTTATTCTGCAAAAGGTGAGCATATCTCCATGTTTTGCTACCTAAAGCTACGTCGTGTGATGTCTGTATTTGCTTCCCCTGTCGCGAGTTCTGATCGCTCAGTGATGATACTTATATTTCTAGAATATGTGGAATCTCAGCTTGTAAGCTTGTTTGTGCATATCCGATAAGTATATCGATTGATTTATACCTAGAGTGCGTTAGCATTTTTTCGCTCAGGGCTCATTTAGACTCTTCTTGTGAGACTTGTGTTTTGTTTCGGTAAACATGGTTCATATCATCAGTTAGATGCGTTTCCTCTGAGTAGGACACATGAATAGTTTATTACATTTTAAGAAGCCCTGAGACACAGTTTCGTGAGAAAAAAAACGGGGGAAAAAAAGCCCCTTAACAGGTTAAATGGGAATTAAATCAGTGTTCCCAAAGCCCCGGTGTTCTGCAGTTTGTGTGGGCCTACTGTACTGTTGCACAGTTTATGCTGTAGAAACTATGTCCAGGACAAGGTGTTTGGAAGTTTTGGAAGATTCATAGCTAACCACACTGAAGTTATGGAGGTATTGATCAGTCTTCTCATATTTTTAAGCCTCAAATTGTCCTTCTCCCCCCCTCTAACATCACCAGAAGTCATGATTTAAGGGGTCTTTTCTCAAAAAAAATTACCGGGGGAGCATCCCCCCGGACCCCTCTAGTATTGTTTGATCACCATTTCCACAGCCCCACCTAAAATATTTTCCACCAGCCGCCACTGTTTATATATACAGTCTATGGTTGGAACCCTGACCAGAGGAGGAAGTAGGCCTACTCATACTTGAGTCAAAGTAGAATTACCAGAGTGTACTTCTTACATGAAGAGACGGGTCACGTCGGCTGTCCACAACCTGGCCAAGAGTGCGCAGGAAGGCTAGGTTAAATGCCTGAGTTTGAGCGTTCTCCTCCCTTCTCAAGGCCATTTCCTCCTCCCTTGCCCGGGCAGTAGCCTCCATGGTCAGCTGCCAGTGCCGATCCACCTGGGCCAGGCTCCGTACATGGTGCCGTTCCTCCTGTGCCAAGTGCTCGTCTCCTCCTCGTTTCCTCTTGCCTGTATGATGATAAGATAATTATAGCAATAAGAATTAGCAATAACAATGAAAAACACAGGACAGGTACAGGTCACACAAGGATATAAGAATAAAATGTATAAGCAGAACTACAGTAAGGATGAACTAAAGACAGTTATGCCCTAGATGTTTACAATGATTGTGAAAGTGAATTACATTATGTCCAGCCTGTTGATAATGAATATAAATATATGTATATAATAGGATGTCACACACAATTGTACTAGCTGCTTACTAGCTAGTTACTTGTAACAGAGCACTTCCACACAGTGGTATAGCTTATTTTACTTACTGACGATGGATGATCTAAAGTTTAAAAAAAAGTCACAATTGCAGTCGTTTTGCCATGCCTATTTCTTACCTAGAACCACACGCTGCGGTGTTACAAGTAAAAGTCCTGCATTCAAAATGTTAGTCAAGTAAAACCTCGGCCCCTGACTTTAACTAAAAATGAAATGTTCAATTTTGTAAATAGAACATGAGAGGATTGTTTGAATCTGATACATTTGAATCAACTCGCTGAACTCTTTATGTAATTGGGTCAGTAATGCACACAAACACAACAAATCAGTCCGTCATAGTCCGTTATATCTTTAACATTTCTAAAAAAGTTAAAAACGATTTTTATGAACTTCCGACAATTTCACTTGAATATCTTGTTTTGTAAATTGGTTCAGCTCAAAAACATGTAAAAGTAAAGCAGTTTAGCTGCTGGTATGATGTAACACTGATCATATGTAATGTGACGAAACAAGTTCACAGATTAATGCAAACAGGAAAAGACTAGAGTTTGATGGACTCCAGGACAGGTGGTGCAGCAGCAGATACCCTCCATGCAGCCTACACTCAGATTACTGAGATTGAAATAAACAAATCTGCACAAACAAACAAAGTTGAGTTTAGGGTTATCAATGTTGGGAGACGATTGCAAACGGTTAAAACAGCGGTTCATATTAAAAGTGCACGACAAACTGCTGCTGCTGGGCAGAGTAGCTACCTCAGACTCAGAGAGCGACAGAGAGAGATTATTGTGGATTATGCGATAAAGGTCGATGCTGGATGTAAGAGGGATCAGGGAGGATGAGGGCAAAGGGCTGGACGCGAGCATTACATCATCTGACTCTAACTATGACCTTGTTGGCGTCTCTTTGCACGATACCCCTCAGATGAATTGGACCCTCTTTAGGAACACCCGCCCTTACAATACATTTATTATAAAACCATGAAACAATATGAATTCTTCCTGTCTGTCTGACTGACGAGACATAAAACTGACAATGTGTGATTTATCTTTCAAGCATATTGCCACAGTTCTATCCCCTTGCATGCAATCTGTGGAGTACAACTGACAGATGTGTTTCTTTAGTTAGGTCTGTTTTTTCATGAACTGCTTCACTTTTGTTAATTGGTACTGTAAACCCTTGTTCCCCATCTGTCCGTCCATTTGAAGTTTTGCCAAGTTTGCCATACAAAAACATCTGTGAGGGTGCAGTGTCCCCGTCTACAACCCCTAAATTCCCACAGGTGTTTAATCTCAGATGTGCTGTCTGCGGGTCAGTTCACTGATGTATTGTGTTGCAGGTCCTCTATCAGGGCGGGGAGGGAATTCTGTGGAAATTCTGAGGCAGATTTTAGTCAAATTGTATGTTTTTGTGTTTGCTCACCACAAACTGCTATTCCAGTCCACATAATAACTCTGTATTAGTGCAAATACAATTGCTACAGTATAGCTATGGTTAGGATACTTTGCCTGGGTGCTGTCCAGGTTCATACTTGGGATGGCCAAATATCACTTTTTCATGTTTAAACCAAAAGAATATCTGCCAACATCAGTCCTTCGCCATCTTTTCCCCCTCTCTTAAATAACTAAGCTGTTGAAGTACCAGAGTGTAGGAATACTCTGTTAAAAGTAAAAGTCCTGCATTCAAATGTTACTCAAGTAAAACCTCTGCCGCTGACTTTAACTAAAAAAAACATTTTCAATAGTGTTAATAGAACATGAGAGGATGGTTTGAATCTGATGAGGCTGCATCCACTCGCTGAACTCTTTATGATATTTGGGTCAGTAATGCACACAAACACACAACATGTCTTTAAACCCACAACAAATCAGTCCGTCACAGTCAGATAAAACATTTGTACGGCTGCACTTTGCTGAAGATGTTTTAAAAACATCATGCTCACACTGGGAAACAAATATTCTACTCCAAATTAAAGAAATAGATAACCCAAAACAGGACTTTTGAATGCGTAAATGCTGCTTCTTTTTATTGTTCAGCACAATATAAACATTCAAATAATGTTTTATTTAATCAATTTTGTGCAAAAGTTGATGCAATTCCAGGGTTAAAAAAACCCCTAAAAAACTAAATGTTCCTACACCCATTGACAGTTATAGACAGATGTTTTAAGGAATGTATTATCAGATTAGATTCATATATATCTATATTTATTTTTTTGTGGTAATTGCCGATGCATTGATTTTGGCCAGTATTGGACCGGATTTGCATATTTCCAGAGTTTTACACATTTCTTTTTTATTTAAGTTATTCTTAATGCTCAGATTTTGCACAATGTTTCACAAGTGCGTGAAACAGTTTTAATAAAGGGGAAGCAGCAGTTTTGCAATAATGACTCATGTTGTGGGTTATGTATGTTTTCTGAAAATAAAATATTAGTTTTACCATTTGAGTGTTATGTTTATTAAATGGGTGGCGTGTGGCACAGTGGATAGAGCCTTGGTGTTTGGATCAAGGGGTCACAGGTTCAAACCCCACTGCAGTCAGCATGTCGTTAAGCAAAGGGCAAATGTATTGTTAACAGCTTGGTTGTATAAGAGAGGGAAAAATACTTTATCGGATTGGTTTTGGCAGATACTAAATATCAGTATTAGTATCATATGAAAAAGTTGTCTCTAACCATCACCATAAAGCATGTTTACTGAAACAAATTTCCCCAAACACTAAAAATGTGTACCGAGAACAGCCAAATTGCAAGAATGACTCAGACTGCGCTCTATTCTGGTAGAAGCACATTTCCCCCCAAGAAATGTCCACGTAATACCGACAAATCTGTTCTGCACAAATCAGGATGTCAGAGTTATGATGTTTTTGGAGCGGCAGTCTTATCGAATCAGTGGTCACACAATCTCTTTATCCAGATGTCCTTCCAAAGCCACGGCAGAGAAATGACTCAATCCTCATATACCCACAGCGCAGCAGCATTGCTGATATTTTTGCTTTCCAAATCCCTGCTTTGGTACACAAAATCCATAGATTATTATGCCAAATTATGATATAACCATTGAGTTTTGTGCTGTTATGCATGTGGATTTATTATGGAAGTCATGCACAAATGAGTATTTTTACTTTTTGGGCAAATTTGGCAAATGATAGCCTTTTACCAAATAGTTAAAATTAAAATTCTTGCAGACATGATGCTGAATAATACATGCACAGTGTCCTTGGCTTCCTATTCCAGTTTCACACATGAAGCCTGTTGCATTCATTCAAACCAAAAGATACAAAATGGAAAAGATTACATTAGATGTTTTATTTAGAGATCTGGAGGATATCTGTGACAAGGATTTTACTTGTTGGATTGTATCCATAAATGAATAATGTACTCTAAAAACATAACAGCAAGGCCAAGCTAAATACTTGATATGCACAATTGTTATACACAGTGATTGCTTATTAAGTAGATGATAACTATTATATCTACATTTTCATTATAACATTTCTTTAGTGATAAGAATGTTGTGAGAATAGTTCATAAACAATCAAAGTCTTCAATTAACAATACAAACATTTGAAAAATTCAAACCATTTCAACAAAACGATCCAAAATGACTTATAAAATAAGTATAATCAGGCAACACATTATTAGTTTGATAGACACTTTCAATAGTTGCATAGACAGTAAAATTCTCTCTGAGAACAACTTCACATTGCTTCACTTTTCTGAGCAGCACTTTATTCAAATTACAAATTTGTATGTTCTTAATATATATGTAAAAAGTTAATCTGTTGAAGAGCTTTATAGAACGACAGCATTAGTATTAAAGCTTGTCCGTAGAGGTGCAAAGGTCATTTCTTCTTCTTTCAGCTGCTCATTCGTGGGACATCATTCTGACGAACTCTGCAGCAGAGAAAAAGAGTTTATAAAATCATTGTGATTACATTTGCTCTATCATTGAAGTCCATTTCCCTGACACTTCTTACCTTCAAAGTCTACTGTGCCATCTCCGTTGTCATCTGCTTCTTTTACTATTGAGTCTATCTCCCTCTGGCTCATGTGCTCTCCCATCAGCTTGCTCATGGCCGACCGCAGCTCCTCCGTTGTGATCTCTCCATCTCCATCCGTATCGAACTGACCATAGAAACAAGAGAAGAATAAAAGAAAATGAGATCACTATTTATCCCTGGCTTTCAGTCATTGAATTGGGATGTATTGGTCAAATATGTAAGGAATTTTGGAAAGTTAATGTAAAGAAAACGTTTCACTCTCACCTCTTTAAAGGCATCTTTGAGCTCCTTCATGCCAATCATCCCGGAGGTTTCTGCCAGAAGCTTCGGGGCCATCAGGTCTACAAAATCATCAAAGTCCACTTTGCCACCAACTGAAGGGAAATCCAAAGAAACTATTCAGGACTTGTCTTAATCATCGTTGCAAATGATCCTCTAACTGGAGTTTTCTCATCAGTTTACAGCCGAAAAACGTTTTTTAGATATGTTTCTCTTTGGGGACTCACGGTTCATGTTGATATTTTGGCTCAACTCGATCAGCTCCATCTCCGTGGGCATGTAGCCCATCGTCCTCATCAGATTCCCCAGGTCCTTACAGCTGATCAGCCCATCCTTGTCTTTATCAAACTCATTGAATGCTTCCCGAAGCTCTGTAGCAGCAAAGAGAAATTCACCCAGTCAGATTGATAGTCAGTTAGAGGTACATGCAAAGAGTTTAATCTACAAACATGAGAATATGAAGAATATGAAAATTGTATTTACCCTCAATCTCATCTTCAGCCAGCTGCCTTGTCTGCACAAAGGGAGAAAAAGCAATTGGTTTGGTCTTTTGTAGTCAGACTCAATTAACAAAATTGATGTTTTTTGGTTCAATACAGAACATTACAATAGGTTTAAACTGCACACAGATTAGACTGCGGATTAAAGTGTATTGGCTGGTGGAGCACTAGCATCAGCATGCTCAATTTCGGTTTCTCTCATCTTTTTATTTTTGGTTAAAGACCTTTCATCACATTTGCAAACATCGACACAAAACCATTAGAAATGTACTTACAATATTCTTCCCTCCTCGCAAGAAAACGCACGCGGCCCCTAAACTCATTTCTGCAAAAGACAAAAAAAAAACAGTTTGAAGTTGTAATTATGAAACATTTTTCTTTTACAATTTCTGACAGATGAAGCACAGCTGGCTGGTGTTTGCCAGTGCCAGGAAATTAGAATTAGGATAGATTGAGTGGGATGTGTTCCCTCAGAGGGATTGACATAATGTATTATCACTGTCTGACTCCATAAAGCCCCTTTCTCAAAATGGTACAAGTGTGTGTTTTCTGATAAAAAGAACAGGAGCAAATACTATTCCAATTACATGAAATCAACTGCCAAAAAGAAAAAGAAAAAAGTGACACCAGGTACAAACCTTCTTTTGGTGATTGCTGTTCATCAGCCAATAGCTTCACCTAATCCAAGACCCAGCAGCTGACGCAAGGTGCAACAAGCCTTCTGTTTTCCTCCTGTTATGTTATCTTCCTCTCAGTATCGGTTCTGTTTATCGTGGTCCAGGTGGCAGCCCTTTCTCTCAGTGTGTGGAGACCCTGTGTGCCCTGCTGCGGGATGCTGGGAGGTTGTATACGGGGCTTGGAGGGTGTGGCTGCATCCAGTTGTATTCTCTGGGAGGAGCCAGCGGTGTGATAGGTGGGCATCAGGTTCATGCATGACCTAAAGAGATGCAGAGTGTAAACTTTACATTGTAAATAACACACTGCCATCTGAGCATGACAGAAGAGATTTGATACTGTCAGGTCAGAGGTTAGGTGTAGAGTTTCTGTTCCCTTTGTTTACTGTGAAGTATAACAGTATAGCCAATTCACTGCAGTTCAACACGGCGGATTTAACACTTTAAAAGTTGAATAATAATAATAATAATTGATCATTCCGATTATGTGAAAGTTGTGGAACATTTTAAAGGTTATATGGAGTTTCTGCCTGAAGGTACAAATAAGTACATACATGTTTAAAATGCATTAAAACATTTCTTCCATCTATTAAAAGGCGATTCTTTCTCTGGAAATGTTGAATATTTCTAAATGATAGCATGCATGTCCTAATTAAGATGAACTTTATGATGATTGAATTGAGTTTATTAAAACATGTGGACTAATTACATGCAAAAAATGTTGCAGTGGGAAGTAAAATAAAGATTATCTAGAAGAAAATGAATGTGCATAAGAAATTGTAAAGTATTACAGCTTGTAAATTATAATAAAAAAACAGAAAGATACAGAGGTTTTGGTTTTATTGTGTGTGTTTCTGTGTCAGCTAAAAGTGCACAACAAAGAGAGTATCCTGAGTGGATTACAATGTTTATGATCATAAAACTAGCGATTTGAATTGACTATACAAACAGGGAACAAATCTTTGCATTTGAAAGAGAACGTTTGACATTTTTATCTTGATAAATAATTTAACATTTAATAAAGTTGACAGTTTATACTCTTGATTGAAATAATCAATTCAAGATAATAGAGGCTCATTTGGTCATGTGTCGTTGTATCAGCTCCTTCTGTTTTCCTATAAATGGCAGTGAAACAGATTTCCGATGTATTAAAGAGCCAAAGGCCAGTCAAAGCTAATATCCCATTGTGTGATAATCTACGAGAGTATTGGTTACATTTGCGTGGAGATTATCTTTTCCATGAAAAACCCTGATGAAATTTCAGCGGTTAATACCCCAGGGTCAGTCTTGACTTCCTGCTGTCATGATGTCTGCAGTAACAGGCTGAGCTGCAACACTTGTGTACAGCCTATGGATAGTTTGCGTGTGTCCTTTCTGACCTTTCCTCCGCCTGATTCTCTGTTATGTAAATTCATCAAAAATCTGTTTGCATAAGGAGCGTAATCCGCTGGGCTGTGGAGCGACAATTCGTAATGATTTTATTATCTTTTTCCCCTCCACATTGCAGAGTTATGCAAAGCCCACGGCGGCGGAAAGATGTCTGGAGTGGAGGGCTGGAGGAAATCATGAATTAAAACCGAGAAGAGGAAAAGGGAGGGCTGTGTGGTGGATGTATAGGTTTAATTAAAAAAAATATATAGATTATATTGATAGAAAATAAAAATAGGTTACGTTTTTGGATTAGAATCTGGATTAAGATATTAATGAGTGTGAAAGCACAGCTATTTGTTGACCATTTTTGCCCCACAACAGTCAACCCTATTTAATAAAAACTCATTCATACAAAGGTAATCCATTGCTGGATGTTGAAAAGCTACATCTACAAAGCGTTGCTGACTTACATGTGTAAACAAAGATAGAGTAGGAGTTTGAATGGGTTTACATTAATTGAGTGAAAAGTCGAATAATAGCCTACAAATAAAACGTGGAAATGTTTTAAGGTTTTTTGAAAAGCAAATGCCTGATTGAATTGCTGTGAACGTTGATGCCCATTATGTATGAAAGATGTGGAACATTTTAAAGGTTATATGGAGTTTCTGCCTGAAGGTACACATAAGTACATAAAGGTTTAAAATGCATTAAAAGGTTTTTATATGCTGAACTTTTCTTCCATTTATTTCAAAGGTGATTCTTTCTCTGGAAATATTTAATATTTCTAAATGAATGGAAGGCATGAATGAGATAGCATGCATGTCCTAATTGAGATGAACCTACATTTTGTAGAATAACATTGATGTGGCTAAGAAATTGTAAAGTGTAACAGCTTAAAAAATTAGAATAAAAAACAGAAAGATACAGAGGTTTTGGTTTTATTGTGTTTTTTTCTGTCAGATAAAAGTGCACAACAGATTACACTGAGTGGATTAGAGCGATTGATAGGATGTGAAATAGTTCCAATGTTACAGATGCAAAACTTCCAAACTGAAATTGATTACATAAAAAAGGCAGTTAAAGATAAAATAATACCAATAAATATAAAAAGGATTATATTACACCAATTACAATTACTCTACACTTGGACTGCTAATAAGAGTAAAACAAATATCATAGCAGATATGTCTTGGTTTGCAATATGCAAAGTGGAGCATATTAGCAAATCTCCATAGAGGAATTATTAATCAATAGAAATTGCAATTTATATAGTTGTACTAGCTAGAGAGTTAGCTAGTTGAACATAAACAAACACATTTCAGTATCTGTAGGTTTTCATCTTATCAAATAGGATGTTTTCTTATAGATCAAATTAATTGCCTCCACCTTCAGCAATACACAATGTAGGTATCATTATCCTGAAAATAACAAAACTAACAACAGCAAAAAGAGAAACTTCAGGTAAACAGATGAGGAGCACAAACGGTATGCAGTAGTAGGCTACATCATTTTCTATTTATTTTAATCATATACTTCAACGATTTAAAGTAGGTGGCACAATTCCACATGAGCACAGTGCAATAAGAAGTTCTTCCTTTCCCCTCACACGTATGAATACCACATTTATTACCCAAAATAATCCCAATATTGTCCCACAGTTAATGGTGGTTTAAACTTGTGTTGACGTCTGAAGCTCCTCGGCCACGCGCGGGCGTGGGTGCAGCTCCTGTGCCTGATATGGAAGCATCGAAGAAGAGCACTTCCGGTTTCCTTTCGGCTCCCGCCCCGCTCCGCCATCATGAAGCCCTGAACAAAAACGGATGGAGAGTCGAGCAAAATGGGGATAACACGAACTGGAGATGAAATCTGCCGACAACACTAACGTAATGACAGCACAAAGTGGAGCACGGAGCGGACCCGTGGAAATTAATAAATCCATTCCCCATTGAAAACGTACCAGGCAGTTATTGGCGTTACGTTATTTAGTTAGCGGTGTTGCTAACAGCAACTAGAGCTAGCCTCTGATTTTGTTAGCTACCCGGCTAGTTATCTGTTAGCAGCCGTCAGTCAGATAGCTGTCACTCTAATTGACTGGCACTTTACTCATGTCAAGCTGCGCAGACGGGCTAGCTGTCCAATTGACTGGGAGCATCAGGATGGAGAGGAGTTTAAGTAAAAGCGTCGACAGGCAGAATGTGGTTTGTTCGTGTTGAATAGACACCAGTGCCGAGGAAAGGGGAGTGAGACCAATATTTTCCAGCCAGGCCGGTTAGCTAGCTCCAGGGCTAGCTACAGTGGATCCCAGAAGCCACGGTAAGACATGTTATAAATCATTCAGCATGCTAATGCAGCCGACTGCGCCTCTCTGTCCCTTTTTTGCAGGGAAACAGAACCTAGCATAGTTAATTAACCAAATGTTCAGATACTGGAGACGTTGACATTGGCATGAAAGCTTGTTGTTGGCCTGCATATTGAAAACCTAACCACTCTTGAGTTGTTGTTGTCCACTGTTGAATACATGTAATTTATTTGGTGAGCTACATAGCCTAATTGACCAGCCAAGTGCAAAAAGCCATGTCGCTTTCCCAGCTGAGCTCCTGATGGAAAACCCCTATAGAAATAAATAGTTTTCTGTCACAGCAACCAAGGATAATAACATTTTTCCCCAGAATATGCACAGGGTTGTACAATTATAGGTTGGGGAGGTTAATTTTGAATGAAACTCCACATTTCCAGCATTTGTTGCCGCTTCCTGTGTGTGTCTGGGATTCTTATAAATAGACTGAGAGCTTGCTTTAGGCTTTGTTGCAAGATTGAAAGAACTTCTCATTTTCAAAGGGAACCACCAGCTTCCTCTTTGACTGAAGCAAAATGGCCTTAAGAGAAACGTTTCATGTGATGCTTGTTAATTTTGAAGTGTGTGGAAATACTGACATGAAGGCCCAGTTGTTCACTTAATGATCACTATGAAACATATGGAGCATGTGTTACATTATTACATTACACTCTGACAAGATCCTAATGTCCCATGATATACGCCGTACCAGGCTGTTAAACTGACAGACAGTGCATCACACAAATGATGATTGCAGTCTGCACTATAACCATCATTATAAGCATGCAGTACAAGTACAATGAATATTTTAGTGTGTGTTTCTATATTTGTCTCCGCTTAAAAATGGGAGGCTCAATTACACAAATGGTAAACCAGTGTTTATTTTCTCTTTGCAAAATAATCTTGTCTATACCTGTACTGTAGAATAATATGTATTCAGGTTTAAAAAGGCTGGGAGTCAAATGATTAGTAGGCCCACACATTTAATAAGGTAATTAATGTGCAGTCATTTAATAATAACTACTCATTTTGATCCTGTATTTAAAGGAATGTAATGACTAACACATTCAGAACCAAATGAGCTAATGAGAGACATGTTTCAGCCTTTTTAAACATGATATATAATGTTTTCTGCTGGATTTAATGAGTCAACAAACGCCATACAAGATATAGTGAAGTGTAGTTCATATTGTAAAGTCAGATCAATAATAAAAGAGCTATCAGACGCTGTCGTGCTACTTATCCAAAGGTAAAACTTGATAGGCAAATCATATTCATGCTAAACTGGTAAGCATTGTACTTTTAGCTCATAACATTTCCATATTGGCCTCAGAAATGTCACACCAGTTTCGCTCAGACAATATTCTGTACTGTATCTCCATTGTGTTTTAGAAACACCCCTGTACACACACATGTCTCAGTGAGAGAATGACTAGTCAAATGTATTGTTTGTCGGCAATTATTTGTTTTGTTTAACATAAAATGAAAATATGATGTGTTTTTTGTGCATATTGAAGTCTTACTTAAACATCATGAAATAATTGCTTGAAGACATAATATTCATATATTCATTTCTCCCTCATTTCCAATGCGATCTACAGAAGCTAAAAACGGAATATTCCGTGTCTGGGTAAATTATGGTAATTAACATTTTTTCTTAACAGTTTTGCTGCTATTGTTTATTCTTATATTTCTGCTAGAGTGACAGATGGAGGATTATGGATGAATGAGTTAAGTGTGTGGTCATTTGAAGCTTATGGGCAATTTGATATTTTACATGCCAACACATTTGCATTTTTGTAGACTTAAACAGTTCAAATGAAGCTGTAGATGAAGAAACATGAACCGAAGTGTCTCGCCCGTCATGGATGGTGCCACACATTGATTTAGCAACGGTTAGCTAGCTATCGTCATTGCACCCAGCTTCCCGGTAATAGTGAACATTCAATATTATTTAAAATAAGTCAGTTAATTTTCTTTATATGAAATGGCCAATCTTTCTTTGCTTATAATATGTTGGATTCATGTTAGCGAAATGTGCATTTTCAGGCCAGTTTTAGCCTTTATTGGAGAGTGACCCCGCCTTTAGTTACCTTGAGGAACCCCTGTTGAAGACCCATGCTGCAGATAATATGCGCCTGTCTGTCGATTTATGTCACAGACTTTTTTGAGCTGAACAAGTTAAACATTTCAACACATTCCCTTTATCTAAATAACAACATAGACACACATAATAATAATATAAAGCTATAACATGCATAGGGAGGTGTGTGACCATATTTCTATCCGCTTGTGTTTCTAACACAAACATTGGTGATCCTTCCAAATAACAGACGCTCACCCTGTGTGTGTTTTCCTCGCTCACCAGGCGCTGGCCATGCCGGCGATTGTGCGGGCCGGGAGCCTGAAGGACCCCGATGTGGCGGAGCTGTTCTTCAGGGATGACCCGGAGAAGCTCTTCACCGACCTCCGGGAGATCGGCCATGGGAGCTTCGGAGCGGTCTACTTCGTGAGTTCCTCTCCTTAGTGTTTGGGTCTGTCATAGTAATGTGTAAACTGTGTCTTTCATCTCTCAGCTGGCTGATATGGATACACTCATCATTTAAAGGTTGCACAATTATATTTGACCGGGAAAGGGAGTTTAATAAATGAGATATTTCTACAAACATATCTTTTTAATTTATAAATCAGGTTAAGTTTGCTCCTTACACTTTGCTGATACAAATATCCAACTGTAAAATGTGATGGAGCTCTAAAAGGCAACTAACAATTACTCTATTTATATCTATCTAATCATATGCACAAAAGAAACAATGAAAACAATAACTGTTTGCAGCTCTCAAAGGGATTGTTAGTTGTAGCAGCTCAAGCTATATCAGATTGTTGCTACAAATTATAGTACAGCCAAAAAACTTCCCCTTAGCTGAAGCAAAAGCAAATAAGCAAAGATGAAATGAAAAGGCTGTTTTTTATTAATGTTGAGATGTTATCGCTGTGGTGAGTCTAGCCTGGTTTAAAGCTGGTATGATAAGGAAAGCAAAGTTAAGGAGCTAAGCTGACAGCTGATGGAGAGTGATGTTGTGAGATGGTATCTGTTAGACAGGAGGGCAGAGTGATGAACTGCCAAAAAAACACAAGGTGGATGCACCTATCGTGTGAAAGGCGGCAGGAGGGAAGAAGAAGGTAACAACATGGTGCGAGTCAAGGACAAGAGGTGGAAGAAAAAGCTCTGTTTAATGAAGGGTGAAAAGCAGCTTGTCATCTAAGAAGGGATCAACAGGAAAGGAGAGAAGAGGGAAGGAGGTGCGATAGAAATTCTAGTTTTATATGATGTTGATTTCTCTGTTACGTCTGATGTAACAATGGCTGCTAAATCCCTCAGGATGGGAGAACTAAATATTCAAAAGAAGGTATTTCTCATCCGTTGTCTCTTACATTTCCACGTTAGGCCCATGACATCCGCACAAATGAGGTGGTGGCCATCAAGAAGATGTCCTATGGGGGCAAACAGTCCAATGAGGTAAGACCTGACGACCCTCTCGGCCGTTATCCAATCGCAGATTTGAAATCAGTTTATCAGTTTGCTCTTCAATGATTTTGGCTTTGATTTTTCAGAAATGGCAGGATATCATCAAGGAAGTGAAGTTCCTCCAGAAGCTGCGCCACCCCAACACTGTAGAGTACCATGGCTGCTACCTGAGGGAGCACACAGCATGGGTGAGTGTGTGTGAGTGTGTGTGGGCGTGGGCTCTTTTTATAGGAATGTTTCAAACCTTTACTGTAAATTGATTGTGCAATACACAAAGAACTTGCTTTTGCTACACAACGTAGGTGAAATAGTGTGGTCAAATGCAATGTAAAAGCCTCTTATAAACAAACAGGTTTCTGTCAATGCAGACGTTCACCCAAAGTGCATTTTTAGTGCATCTATTCACAGGTTTCCCTAAAAGGCTCTTGTTCCCTTGGGAAAGGTGCTCTAGTTTAAAAAAAAAAAACATTGTAAAGTGTTTTTGTCATCATTAGCGCTATACTACATCCTTTTTTTTTGTACATGCAAAGCTTCTGCTGAGGTATTTAAGTAAATGGTTGAATATCTGTTTTTATATTTTATAATGTTCACCATTACTCAGTTTGAGTAAATGGGTTCATCATATCAAATACGTTTGTCTATTTTATTAAAGCTACCTATTCAATGAACATAACTTGTCTGTGCATGTCCCAAGCAGGAGTGCAAACTGGTTTTCCTGCAGCAATTAAAATGTTGTTTTGCAACGGCTAAACGGCAACAACTTCTAATATATGGAGGAGTTGGTCATGAGAGCATTTTTATTGGCCCTACCTTGTTACAACAGCCGCTCTTACACTTAAATAACATACTCAAATCAAGCCCAAACTGCTTCACGTCCAAAAGAAAGCTCTTTGTGTGAAAAAGTCCTTAAGTCAGGGTGTCCGCGGGGTCTTAAAAAGTATTAAAAGTTGATATATCAATTTAGCGAAAATGAAGGTTATTAAAAAGTATTATACGGCATTTTCCAAGGTATTACATTTTGTAGCTTGTTTTCAATAAGTATATAAATTGTCCAAAGAGGTTGTATTCTACAGTCTGCCTGAATGTAATCATTGCGTAGGTGTGTAGTGTGATTCTGTGTAGTTTATTTATGGCATCCCGTTGGATTTGACGTCATCTGAACAGGACATCGCACGCTCACTGCTTGATAGCGCGCGAAGGTCCGTTTACGCCGGTTGTTAAACAACATCGTTATGGGGAAATGCAAGTTTGCGTCCAAATGGTTGGAAGATAAGGAGGAAGGGCAATCAATACTGTATATAGTAAATGTGAGGTAAAGTGTGTCGCCAATGTAACCGGTTAAAACTCCAAGTGGCGATGAGCTCTTAAAATGTATGGAAAGGGTCTTAAAAAAGGTCTTAAAAGGTATTACATTTGACTTCAGGATTCCTGCATATACCCTGTAAGTGCAAAAAGCATGCAGTTTAATCTCCCTCTGTGTCTCCTAGCTGGTGATGGAGTACTGCTTGGGCTCAGCTTCTGACCTCTTAGAAGGTAAGCAGGAATGAATCAAGTAATTAAGACACTAACACTAATTAATTGGAATCTACTCAAGTGTGCTCAGTCAGTTGTTCTCGAAGAAACAATGCCTAATATCCCGTAATGCCTCTCGTATCCCAGTCCATAAGAAACCTCTCCAGGAAGTGGAAATAGCTGCCATCGTCCATGGTGCATTGCAGGGCTTGGTGTATCTTCACTCTCACAACATGATTCACAGGTAACCCCCGTTTATTTTCTCACTTTCTGTATCTGTTCTCCTCCCCCACACTTCTTATGACAAGAGACAAAACAAATACAGGGCGAAAGCACAAACTGTGCTGCTGAGACCAGCTTATGCAACAGTGTTCACACTCTGAGCAGCAACACATTTTAGTACATCTGACAAGACACTGTCTCTCTCATATGTCCCCTATTTGTTTTGTCTTCCTCACGATTCCCCCGGCCAGTCATTTTCTCTGATCTGATCATGTCTCTCTCTCTCAGGGATGTGAAGGCAGGAAACATCTTGCTCACAGAGCCGGGTCAGGTCAAACTGGGAGACTTCGGCTCCGCCTCCATCATGGCCCCGGCCAACTCCTTTGTGGGAACACCTTACTGGTAAAATATCAAATGTATTACTCATCACCGTCTCTCAGGAGATGATGACAGTTACTCCTTTTGGATTCAGAAGGATTGCACCAGATTATGATCCAGCAAAGCTTACACCTTGTTTGTGAGTCTGCTTTATTAAGAAAGTCATCGGTTTCACTTATTTTAAATGTCAAAAGCCTTCCTGATGTTGTTAAGCGTTACTAAGTATTTCCCTGTATCATAGTATACCTGAAAGGTGTTTTTAAAGTTTCCAAATCGGGTTGATTTAAAAACAGTCAACTTAAAAATAAGGAGTGAACTATCTCACTTTCTGCTCATCTCCATTGCGTATGTGGAGTACCCATCAGTATCTGTAAGAAAAATGGCAGCGTGTAAAGATGGAGTTTATCAGCTAAAGCGATCAATCATTTCAATTACATTTAACTACAATTCATAAACTGTTTGTAAAGGGGCAAGTAGATTTCTGCAGAACTTGACAAGCGAGAATCGAACATTGAGTCCTGCCATAATTGGTTAATCAGGGTCGATTGTATTAAGACCTTAAGAATGATAACCCTTAAGTTAAAATAAGTAATGTCTTTGATATTAAAATGTAATTACTTTTAATTTACCTTTTTAGCTGACCCTCCCAGGGAGCGTGCAAGTCCATCTGATTATTATTTGTATATACTACATATGTTTCTGAGGTGCTGGAAACGGCATTTAGCATCAGCATTTTCCTCGGCTGTACCTGCACGTTTCTCACCGGGTCATCAGACTATTCATCTTCTACAGGTGTCTGTAGTTATTGAATATGTGCCGGCCTAACCCTGGTTTTGTTCCTGCTGTTTGATGTGGTGTAGACGTGGGGACAGTGAGCCCTGAGGCGGGGCTCTCTGTTAGTCCAGGTTCAAAGAAACGGAAAAGGCTGAATTGCTTTGTTGTGTCCTCCATGCAGGATGGCCCCTGAAGTGATCCTGGCCATGGACGAGGGCCAGTACGATGGGAAGGTGGATGTGTGGTCACTTGGCATTACCGCCATAGAGCTGGGTAAGACATGTTCATAAAGTGCTCTACTTGTGTGTGTGTTCAAAGAGCTGAAAGCATCCTTTTTCTGCCTTTCTCTGTCACGCAATGTTGTGCTTTGTCCCTCTCTAGCGGAAAGGAAGCCTCCTCTGTTCAACATGAATGCAATGAGTGCCTTATACCACATCGCCCAGAATGAGAGCCCCGTGTTGCTGTCTAATCACTGGTGAGAGTTGGTGAAACTGTCTTAATGTCCTTTTGTTACTGATTTAATGTGCCAAGAGAAAACATGTGTTATGTTGCTTGATATCATATTCTAAATGTTGCTTTTAGAAAATAGCTTCTGATGGGTTAGAAGCTTATACAACATAGACATTTTCAAAGGATATTTAATTTTATACACATTTCCAGGAAGTGGCACAGTGATTACTCCTGATTTCATGGATCTGTGTTGCAGTTAAAAACATTTGAATCATGCGTTCACTCATAACATCACAAAGTGAATGGTGCTTTTATAAAGACAATCTTTATCCTTTCCAGGTCGGATTATTTCCGCAATTTTGTGGACTCCTGTTTGCAGAAGATCGCCCAGGACAGACCTACCTCTGATGTGCTGCTCAAGGTACAAAGTGGTGTTTGTTGTCGCACATGAAGGCAGGCGGCAGCGTTTGATTCTCTCTTTGTCAGAGATTATGATTGAGCAAAGGGAATCTGAAAAAAAGCGCTTTCAGCCACGGCACTAATTGATCTATATTGAAAGGATTAATATGACATGTTTTTATCTTATAAACTACTCTGATGAACATTTTGTGTACGGCACAAACACTGCTCTCATCTACATTTAATTCATATTGTACACCAGGTGTTCAATTTTAGTTTTCTTAAATAAAGGGCCCCTCTTTCTCCTCAGTTAGAACCAGCTGTGTTAAATAAATACAGTAGTCATCTCTGTTTACGTTTTCGTTCCAGTTGGCTTAAGCATGCGCTGGCATAACAAGCGGGTCAGCTTAATGATGTCGGGGAAACAAAAAAATTGCCCTCAAAGGAAAATATAAAAGGAAATCATGCAAGTGGACGTTTCAGTGTGAGGGACAATCCTCATCAGCATGTAGGCAGAGTATCTAAGTTCATGTGCAACGGGTTCATGAGCAGAATCCTAGAATAAAGGAAAATCAATATAAATATCTTAAACAATAATCGCCCTGCAAAAGTAGCACCCTAACTCCCATCTTGGGTTCATGTTGGTTATTCCTAATATACCAGGAAGTTGATTTTAGACCCTAAGCACCCTGTGGCTGTTTAATTGTTCACTCATTCTCTCATCCCTTCTATCCTGCAGCACCATTTCCTATGCAGAGAGCGTCCCGTCACCGCGGTGATGGACCTGATCGCCCGCACCAAGGATGCTGTCCGCGAGCTGGACAACCTCCAGTACCGCAAGATGAAGAAAATCCTCTTCCATGAGGCGCTCAACGGACCCGCACCAGAAGGAGGCGACGAGGAAGAGGTAGGACTGGGACAGAGGGGGAGGGGGAGGAAGAGGCCAAGAGTGCTGAGGCTTTGTTCATCACTTTACATTAAGTTGTACATGTGAAATTAGAAGTGCTTCCCCAAAACTTAAAATAGTTTCAAGTTTCAAGGCTTTTATTGTCATGTGTGCATAGCTACAGTGTAGTTATGACAATGAAAATCTTAGGTCACAGATACTCATGATACTTTAAAACTAAGACCCCTCTTGTAGGAATCTAGTCAAAGAAAACTAATAAGTCATCGCTGCCCTGAATTTGAACCTTTCAAAACCCTTTTTATGTACGCACATGTCCGGGTAGCTGGTTTCAGTATCCATCCTGCCTTTGTATCGTACTTCTCGATACATTATGTGAACTTAGGGCCCCTTCCTCTCGCTTCCTCTTACAAAGGCCTTTGTTTCCATCAACATTTAATTCCAGTCGGTTGTTCCCCCGAAAAGGAAATGGAGGAATTCTGAGAATGTGGGGTCTGCACTTTTCCAAAGTGTTGACCTGTGACTTTTAGTTTCACATTTTACTGCTCAGAATATTTTTCATTGGAAAAGCACATTTGTATATGCTCTAAACCGGTCAATATACTACTACCGCTGCGACTGTTAACCTATAAAGTAGTAGCTTTGTATTTCCCTAGATCATTGAAACTCCTTTTCTTTCCTCCAGGATGCGGAGCAGTACATGCTGCGCACCGGCACCGTGAACAGCATGGAGAGCTCCCACTCTCTGCCCTCCATGTCCATCAGCGCCAGCTCCCAGAGCAGCTCCGTCAACAGCCTGGCCGACGGCTCTGACGACAGCGGGGAGATGGCCATGATGCAGGAGGGCGAGCACACCGTCACCTCCAACAGCTCCGTCCTGCACAAACCGCTGGTCAGTCCAAATACATTACTGTGTGGGCGGGAATGTGTGAGAGCAGTGTGAGAACTCTGTCCTGCCCAATCCACTCTTATACACATTCGGCTCCATTTGCATCAGTTTTACATGGCTTATGTTGAAAGAGAACCTTTTTTTTTTCTTTCAAATATTTATTTCATACCAACATCATTATAGAATAACATTTGTTTTGCACCCCTTACACGAAATGAAAGCGAAAGAAGCTTGCCAAAGTTTTGTTTTTTTGTGAAGTGAGTGTATCTTCACTGAGCCAATGCCCTAAATAAAGTTAAATGACTCCTGTATTTAAAATGTAGTACTAGTGTGACATTTAGGTCAGCACAAACCTGTTTTAATAAATCCTCTCCTCTGCTTGTCTCCGCTCTGTAGAGCCATGACAACATCTACGATGATCCCTACCAGCCGGAGATCGACCCGCTACGAGACGCTCCGTCTGCCGGTGGCGGCGGAGAGAGAGAAAGGGAGAGAGGAGGGAGGCGGAGGAGAAACAGAGATCATTTTGCCACCATCAGGACGGCCTCGCTCGTCACTCGGCAGATCCAGGAGCATGAGCAGGGCTCGGCCCTGAGGGAGCAGATGTCTGGGTGAGGGGACACGCATGACGAATATTGCTGCAAAAGGAAAATAAAGCCAATGCATGTTAACCAGTTGGCTATAATAATATTATTCGTTTTATTCTTTTAATAGAATTAGATTCCAGTGACAGCTGTGTAGGATTGTTTTATGACTTACTGACAAGATAATCTGCTTCAATCCATATTTGTTTGCACACACAAAAGGACGCATACAATGATAGATTACGTTCATTAAAGTAGATTTAATAAAAGACTCTTATAAAACCACCTTACTCAAATGAAGGGTCTGTTCAAGGATTCTCTTTGCTAACTTCCTGCCTCGTGTCCTCACAGGTACAAGCGAATGCGGCGGCAGCACCAGAAGCAGCTGATGGGCCTGGAGAACAAGCTGAAGGCAGAGATGGACGAGCACCAGCTGAGACTGGACAAAGAGCTGGAGAACCAGAGGAACAGCTTCTCCATGGAGGGAGAGAAACTGTCCAAGAAGCACCAGGCCATCCTGGAGAAGGAGGTGAGCGGGTGGAGGAGGAGGGAGGATAACTGCCTTTGAAACTAAAGAGAAGTCCAGCAATCTTGCCATGTATTTTATTGTGTTTCTCATAACTCATGATGTTAATGAGATTTTCTTTGTGGTTTTCAGACAAAGGCAGTCCTGACTGAGGAGAAGAAGTTCCAGCAGCACATCCTGGGTCAGCAGAAGAAGGAGCTGACGGGGCTGCTGGAGTCCCAGAAGAGGCAGTACAGAGCCCGCAAGGAGCAGCTCAAAGAGGTGCTTTTCACACGAGCCAGTCTTTTATTCAGTCTTTTTTCTGAGTCAAATGTCCCTGGTAGTTGTTTTTTTTATGAAATAAAATGCACTCACACTTACGACACACTTAACCTTCATTTCTTTTTGGTGGCCAAAGTTCTATTTGACTTGTAACCATTTTAGTTTTATTCAACTAATACAAGTTTGAATCAATAAAAAAGGGACTTTCTAGTCTTTAGTCTTTTCAGAATGTAATGTAGTCCAGCCAAAATATCACCTCGCTTATCACTCTCACACACATTTCCTGTTTTGCAAACATTTTATAATTAGCTCTACGTTGTTTTTATCCAACTAAAGCAACCATTCAATTAAATTCAAATGTACCTTTTTATTTAGTTTTCACACTAAAATAACTAAACGTAATTTAAAATGAACCCTAGATTTCCCAACACAAATCCAAACGGCCCTGATCTTTCAGCCTAATCATCTTTTACTACTACTACTACTATACTGTCCGTTCATTGCCTCGTGTGTGTCTCCCCTCCAGGAGCTGAATGAGAACCAGTCGACCCCGAAGCGGGAGAAGCAGGAGTGGCTGGTGCATCAGAAGGAGTGTCTGCAGCAGCTGCAGGCGGAGGAGGAGGCGGGGCTGCTGCGGCGGCAGAGGCAGTACTACGAGCTGCAGTGTCGCCAGTACAAGAGGAAGATGCTGCTGGCACGCCACAACCTGGAGCAGGACCTGCTCCGAGAGGTATCGTGTCAGATTGACATGGTATTAATTACATTCTCCTCAAATGTACTTTAAGCAGCCAGCAGTCAGGTAGACTTCTAACAGTTATTAGTTTTATTTATTTGGGATATATCAGTTCCCCCCGTTTTCTTTACTTTGAACCCTACCCAAAGTCCATGCTAAGAATTTAAGGTCAAGAAATCTATTAAAAAGTTGTATTTTCGATTGTAAGCATCACATATTTAAGGTAATGCCTAGTTAAGAAATATCTTGACGTCACTTTTTAGTCACCACTCAATCAGCTCTTATTTCTTCTTGAAATATTTCAACGTTCCTTCTGTGCAATGATAGGAATGGCGGCTGAAGCTGATAATAATATCATTTTGGTGATAAAACCAACCAAATCGCAACTCGCACCAAAAAAAAAAATCAACATTGTTAAAAATAAACATGAAGAATTATATTTATTTTGAATTTCGGGTTGAATACACACTTCTCACACAGATTGGGTGAAATACACTTAGTTTGATCATATTCTATCTATATAAATGTATTTAAATATAAAAAAATAATACTATTAATAAACCGATAGTGAGATATTATTATATTCTCCTCACCTGTAGAAAAATTGAATCTCCCTCTCCTCTCCTCTTATTATTATTTTGATATTTTACGATACCCTCCATGCCTCTTGCTCACCTTGTTTTCCTCTCTAGGAGCTGAACAAGAAGCAGACCCTGAAGGACCTGGACTGTGCGATGCTCCTCCGGCACCACGAGACCACCCAGGAGCTGGAGTTCCGGCAGCTGGGTTTGGTGCAGCGGACGCGGGCCGACCTGATCCGCACGCAGCACCAGACGGAGCTCACCAACCAGATGGAGTACAACAAGAGGCGCGAGCAGGAGCTGCGGCAGAAACACGCCGTGGAGGTCCGCCAGCAGCCCAAGAGCCTCAAAGTGAGTGAGGAGGGAGAGGGCGAGTCCGCAGAGGGGCCGGGCGGCCGCTGCGACGGCAAGGCGGGGGGGGGGCGAAGTAACGGACAGGGAGGGAGGGGCGATAGAAACTGATAGGGAGGATAAGGAGATGTGTGATGTTGAGCTCGATGGAGCAGTTTGTGTGGAGGAGGGCGAGGGTGTCCCTGTGTTGGAAAGGAAAGACAAGTTAGATGGAGACAAAGAAGAGAAGGACGAGTGGAAAGTGAGCGAAGAGGGGACAGAGGAGAGGGAGGTAGAAGGAGGGCAGTGGGAGGAGGAGGAGGAGGAGGAGGAGGGTAAAACACATGTAGAAACAGACGACGAGGAAGAGGAGGGCAGGGGTGTGGCCGACGGCTGTCCCTCAGAGTTCATCTCGTCCCTGTCCCCGGAGAAGAGACGTCTCCGCGAGCGCATCGACGAGCTCTCCGAGTTCTACTTCCCCGACGTGGAGGGGGAGGAGCCCGCCCCCGTCTCCCCCCCGTCCCCCGCTCAGACTTCCTTCCCTTCCCTCTTCTCTCACGCTATCTGCCTCCTCCTCTCCCTCTCCGCCGCTGCCCAGCCCTCCAACCTCACCCTGCTGCTCCTCTCCATCTTCCTCCTCTCCCTGCGCCGCTCCCCCCCCCTCCCCTCCGTGGCGTCTCTCATCCTCTCCACGGAGCTCGCCCTCTTGGCGCTCTTCTTCTCGTACCTCTTCCTGCGCTCCTGCTGCTCCCTCTCTCTCTCCACCTACCTGTCGCTCAGCCTGTGGGCGAGCGGGATCTTCAGTTTAGGGCTCTCCTTCAGTCTGGGGATGTACTACATCCCCATGATCCTGGTTTCTGCCTCCTTCCTCTCCTCTCCCTCCCTCTTCCTCTCTCTCTACTTGGTGGTGGTGCTGATTGTCAGGCCGGCCCGAGAATTCCTCCAGCACGCACCCCGCAAAGTGAACCGCCTCTATATGCGGGTTCTTTTCCGCCTGCCTCGCCCTCTGTTCGCCATGTGCCAGTCGGTTTTCGGCGGCATGGCAGAGCGTAACCTCTATGAAATGTTTCCCAAAGCGGGGCGCAACTGGGGCGGGCGCCAATCCAAAATCCCCGTCCCCCTTAAGAGCCTGCCGTTAGAGCACCAGGCTCGCTGCAGTAACGCCTCCCCCCTGGCCAAAGGTCTCATCTGGGTGAAGCGTTTCAGCCGGCGGCCCCTCGGGGTCCTGGCAGATCTGGCTAACTCCGTAGTGCTAAAGTTTGCCGAACGGCTCCTCAAAAAGCTGCCTCTAAGTGTCCGGATCAAATTCCAAACGCTGGGCCTCACGAGGAGGGAGAACCCGAGCCGGCTCCCCCGACTGCTGCCCAGGGAGGTGAGGGAGAGGAGGCAGAGGGAGAGGAGGGGGAGAGAGAGGGAGAGACAGAGGAGGGAGGAGAGGTTTTTCCGTGAGGATGTGAGGTGGGAGTGCGGGTTGAGACGAACTTCATCCGGAAGGTTTGTCAGGGGGAAAGTCCGGCCATGGAGATAAGAGTAGATAATGAGAGACCAATGGATAGAGTGTAAAACATGTTCTGGTGGTGTGTGTGTTTGTGTGTGTGTGTGTTACCATGCTCCCTGTCCAACCATCATTTGTGTGTCTTTTTGATTTGGGACCACACGTCTCTCTTAGTTACATAACTCCCAAACTGGTTTTTGGTCACATTTCCAAAAGATGAGACACAGTTCCCCCAACGTGTGTGCACACAAGCCGTACTGTGGTGGGCCGTGCTGAACCCACCATTACTGTACCAAACCCAGTGAAGTTCCATTATTGTGCTTTTTGTAAAAGTTGTTATTGTTATTATTTTGCTCTTAATTTGTAAGACATATTTTATGGTTATTTTTGAAGACCAGTTTTGTGCAATCTTTAGTTTTTCTTTCATAGTGGTCTTATCTTCAAAGGGTGCACTGTGATCTCGGTGCGTAGAACAAATATTACAGTGTTGCAAAGCTGGCTATAATTTCACTCCCCAAAGCTGAAAACTGTGAAAAGACATTAAAATAACCTAAAGATTTCACTAACGTCAGCCTAACACTAGCCCTCAGTCGGTAGAAAGTGCAATAAAAAGCTGAACAGAAAAATCTTGGACAACTGCAGGACGTTTGATCGAATTTTAAAGCGTAGTTTATCTGTTTAGGGGTCCAAAGTGTAAAATACTTGCTTACGTTGGGGCCATTTAGCGGGAACAATAACGCTTGATAACACAACCAAAGGATATTATTTACAGCTGGTGAAATCATACATTTTACACTCTAGTTAGATATACTGTTATTGCTCTTTATGCAATAATATTTTTTATGATTTACCGTGTAAACATTTAGATATTTGTACCCTAAGTAATCCTATTCATGTTCAGCAGTTGAGTGCCTAGTTACAACTGTTGGCTCGAATGTTAATGTCTCTTGTGAAGTGGCGTATCCTAAAGTAATAGTGGGATTATAAGAATGCAGAATATACGTGGAAGTAGTGAAATATAATATAATAGAAAATGTATTTAATATTTCAATGTCGCCTAATTTATATGAAGCCATATAGACAATCGTTTGAGACATGCAATCGTAAAATAAGTCCAAAGATTGATGCAACTACTGAATGTGAAAGTAAAAATTAAGCAGTTAAACATGATATGAAAATAAGATATCCAGTAATGGCACACGTTTATTTTTGCACTTTCCAAAAGACAATTAAAAAAACAAAAGTAGAAAAGCAGATTACTTCAGATGAGGGCAAATATTTTCACTTTTGCCGTATACAACTTAAAAAAAAAAAAAAAAATAGTGTACTAACGTGATGTCTCCCAGTATCTTGTTTTGTTTGATTAAGAGATGTTATGTTTGCATTGCTATTATATGACAGGGAACAATAACAAATCCTCTGAATTAAGAAGCTGGAACCAGAGATTTATTGGCATTGATATGTATTTTTGCTTTAAAAAAATCAAACCAAACCATAAATATGCTCTAACCCAATCAGATCAAAAAAGACATGTGACCGTTTATAGCAGCGTTTCCATCTAATGCTCTTGCAATCTTAAAGACTAAACACCAAAATGCTCTGGTTTTAGTTGAAATGAAGTCAAATGAAGCCCACATTGCATAGATCGGAGAGTTTAAGAACTTTTAGAATGAGCAAATGCATTAGTGCCTATCGATGCTAATTATGTAGGAAACTAAATGCCCTGTACTGTATATCACAGGAGAAGGACTTTTGAGCCACTTCAATGGAGGGCTAATTCTGAGTAGGAAAACTTGATCTTAATCCAGGTAAAAGAGAAAAGTAGGGCACTTTATTTTTGATGACCTGCATTGGGAAGTCTAGCTTTAAAAAAAAGACACAATTTTTTTTATTTTGAATGTAACTTATTTGCCATTGATTTTCATTTGTGGTCGAGTATCTCCTGTTCCTCTGTGTTTGTTTACATGTGTGTATTCTGTTTTGTTGTGACACCGTTTCCACAGTTACATCACTTTTTTTTTTTTTTTTTTTTTTAATATTTTATTTATGCAGTATTTATAAGACAAGTACTGCATTCTGTTTGGCAGCCATTTTGTTGTCCCTTTATTCTCATTTTAGCTGCATGAGTGTTGGCGTACTGTATGGCTGTTTGCCGCAAGCAGAGAGAAATATTTTGTCATAAATCCAGATTTTTTTTTTTTCTTTACACAAAAAATAAATTATTTTGTGTGAAACTCATTGTCTTGTTTGTTTTTATGATTTTTGTCTCCATTATTACCTTGTCTTCATTTGTTTACTTCCCCCCCCCCTCATTTATCAACAAATCCTGTTTTATTTAAAGTTCCCTTTCATCATTCCTCCTCTATCTCACATTTGATCTGTTATCGTCTGATGCCCTTCCCTTTGTCGGATGTCCACCAAACATAAACAGCTTCTGTGGCTTTTTAATAACAAAGCTTACATACGGTAAACGGTGTTAAACTGGTATACAATCGTTCATAGGACTCACACCATTTCTGTGTTATTTGATGAAGCAAATGTCTTATAATGCCAAACTAAAAGGTTAAATAATATTGTATTTTTTAGGAAATGCAACACATTTTTTAATTAAAGTGTCGATACAAATTAATTAAATTTTAAGAGAGCATCTTTAAATCCAAATGTACTTTGGTCTGCTTATACGTTCCATGTTTAAAAAAGCGTAATGTTTTTTCTAACTACATTTGGTGACCTGAAATGTTTCAAAAACATCGGTTTGTTTACCGAACAAATGCACATTCCATTTTTCATCTATAAGTGGAACTCCTTATTTAATGCAACATAATATCTTTAAAAGAAAAAAAAACACCTCTAACACTTTCTTACATAATTAGGATTCATGTTTTAAGGCATTGACTAAAAATGGCCTTCATTACAATCAAATAATTGCGTCCATGTATTATCTATTTAGTTTAAAACTGCTTTATTGCATTGAAAAACAATAATATTGCACAACCATCTTTTTTTTTTTACCCAATCGAGGAACCCAAAACACTTATTATAATACAGCAAGCTATAAATCAAAGCAGAGCATAGAGAAGCATTGATGTCATTCTGGCCATGCTGGGGTCACTGGAAGATTCAACACCTGACAGGTATTTATACAACAGTTGTGATTTCCTATGGAAGGCAGAAGTTGGAGTTATGGTAACATTTTCTTTAACAATAATTTCATCATGATTTGTTACAAATATTCTTTAGTTTGCTATTTTTTCCCATCATTTTCTGTGTTTACCATCCATCTCCATGTCCATAAATGAGCACCTGAGCCGAGCTGCTTCTCTCTCCTCTCCTGCAGTCCAAAGAGCTGCAGATCAAGCGTCAGTTCCAGGACACCTGTAAGATCCAGACCCGGCAGTACAAGGCGCTGAGGAACCACCTGCTGGAGAACACGCCCAAGTCGGACCACAAGGCCGTGCTGAAGCGGCTGAAGGACGAGCAGACGCGTAAGCTGGCCATCCTGGCCGAGCAGTACGACCACTCCATCAACGACATGCTGTCCACTCAGGCTGTGAGTAAGGCAAGGGGTCGTCGTTCATTTCACTCTCGCACCACAGGGGGTCCGCCCTGCCCGCACGCTGCCTGCCATCCTGCCCGACAACAACAACCTCCTGGTGCGCCTCCACCTAAACCCACATTTCCCAGCCTTATACCTGTATTGCCCTCTTCCAAAACATCCCTTACCATTACATTCTCTCATTTTAGGGGCTAAGACTATGACATGTCAAATCTTAGTTAAGGGGATAAATGTTTGAATACTGTAAAAAGAAAATTAGTTTAAGGTCCAGAAGTTACTAAAACTGTTTCTGCATAAGGGGCCATAATGCAACATTATGTCACAACAGTGTCCCTGTATCAAAGCTTTATTTCCCAGTTTACAGTTATACTAACGTATTGATGGTAGAACCATAAAGACAGTTATGGAAACAGTAAATGTTGCACCCTATAGTTTGTCCAAATGTAGCATTGTCTTTTTCCAGACTTTATTCTGCATCATAGCATATCGACGGTACAGTTAAATAGTATTTACCTTAACCCTATTAAAATTACATTCATGTTAACTGTATTGGTGTCAATTGCTGATGACACTCTTAAAGTGCCATTTAAACTGTGTAAAGAAAGTAGTGCAATATACATAAAGCATAACATCAGCGCCAAAATGATATATTATTATGGGATGGAATTTTACAAGTGTAAAACTCCACATTATAAATGTTACTTATGCAAAAACATGCAAGTATTATTATGAAAACGGGCTTAAATGGATCAATGCTAAGAAAAATTCCCTGTTAAAGAAATATATAAACTTAAAATGATTACAAGCACATCAGAAAATCCTACATTTTGAGAAGCTGAAACCATTACACTCTTTTAAATTGGCAACTTAAACAATAATTGTTAAAATACCTTTGTAAAGCTCAAGAGCATTGCATTTGTACGTTTTTACAGTACGAAGTAAATTGATTCCCCGGTGAGGGTTTTACTTTTCAAACAGTCAAACATAGGGATCAGCCCCCCCCCCCCCCTCTCCAGCTCACCCCTGCCCTGTAAGCGTGCAACTCACACACATAGACAAATCCCGGCTTTTAAATGAATGAAACATTGTAGGAAGAGGACGTGATGTGAGGAAAGGTCTCGTTCTCTTCAGTGACATAACGCCCTGTGCCACTTTAATTACCTCTCATCGTGCCATGTAAGCCCGGTAAGCCAAATCCCCGCTGCCCTTGTTCGTCCGCACATCTTCTTCATCGCCCTGCGGCCAAAGTCTCTTTGGGCCGGTTTCCCACTCACTGATTAAAGTCAATGCTGAGGTCAGAAACACAATATTGTTTTTAAGTGAAGAATTTCTTATGGAACATGTTTGTATCTGTTAGCTAGGCATCACAACAGGTTAAAGAAGTGCAACATTTTGTAATATTACACTGATTTATTAAGATCATTGATATATAAGTTATCAATATAAGGCAGTCTTTCCTATTTACAGACCGACTTCCACTATTTCTGCTTGAAACATTTTAGGTTATCAGTATAATATGCACAGAAATTCATAATTAGGCTTTTCATTTGACAATTTCTTTAATATTTACACATACTTTTGACTTCCTCATATTGAATACAGCATATGACAAAACACTGTTTCTACAAACACACTCCTGCTCTTCTCCTCTCTGTGTGCATCTCCCTTTCTCTACCTTTGTGAAACTCTCTCAACGTGTCCTCAGCACTAAAGCACAATATACCGCCCATACAATCGTGCCAAATGCATCTTTTATTCATATACCTCTTATTTTCTGTCTCTCAGCTGCGATTGGACGAGACCCAGGAAGCGGAGTACAAAGTGTTGCGCATGCAGCTGCAGCAGGAGCTGGAGCTGCTGAACGCCTACCAGAGCAAGATCAAGATCCACACGGACACGCAGCACGACCGGGAGGTGAAGGACCTGGAGCAGAGGGTGTCCATCCGCAGAGCGCTGCTGGAGCAGAGGGTGAGACTCAATCACTGCTATGAAGCAAAGCGCTTTACAATTGAGGTTTAGTAATCCAGTTGGGCCTGCAGAGATGATTGGAAACTGAAAGGCAACCTAGCTATAACGTTGTTAGCTTTTGTTGGATCAGATAACACTTTTTGCTGTCCGATGTTGAGACAATTAACTTCATATTTTCTACAACTGTACCTTTTAATAAAGGGTTTAACCGCAAGGTACTCTGAGTGATCATAGGTAAACATAATCGCCACATAATCTTCGCCAGTGGAGTTATACTTTAAAGATTTGTGTAGATATCTTGGTGCTTTTGATCCTATTGCTTAACCTCCTTAGAAAAAAAGTGAACTTAACATAAAAACAGGGCATCTCAATCTCCTAATAAAGATTATGTGTTTTGATAAAGAACCTCAAAAAAGCAACAAACTTGTGGTGAGTTTTCTCTCAAGTTTTCTCTCAAGTTTTCTCTCTTTTTTTGCGGAAAATTGAAATCGTGGATTGGGAAATTATGTTAACACCTTTTAGTAATGCTACAATTGAAAAAAACCATTACATTATGTTTTAAACTTTCTCCTAGATCGAGGAGGAGATGCTGTCCCTGCAGAACGAGCGCTCGGAGCGGATCCGCACGCTGCTGGAGCGCCAGGCCAGCGAGATCGAGTCCTTCGACTCTGAGAGCCTGCGGCTGGGCTTCAGCAACATGGCGCTGTCAGGCATCCCCAGCGAGGCGTACCCCATGCAGGGGGGCTACCCCAACGTCCCGCCCCCCAGCTCCCGCTCCGTCGGCCACTGGAGCCACGGCATACACCCGCACAACCTCCCCCCGCAGCACCTCCCCCCGCAGCACCACCCCCCCCAGCCGCACCCCCGCCGCAGCCACGCCAGCAGCAGCAGCAGCAGCAGCAGCGGCATCGGGAGCGGCATCGGGAGCAGCAGCGGGGCGGGGGACCGCCGCAGCGAGGCCTCCTCCACCTCCTCCCATGCCCTGGGACTGGCCCTGGGGCTGGGGCGGGACGGGAGGGAGGTGCACCACTCGTCCCGCTCCTCCGCCTCTTCTTCCTCCTCCTCCTCCTCCTCTTCCTCCCACCACCAGCGGCACCACCTGCCCCAGCACTACCACCACCAGAGCACGCCGCAGCTGTACCGCGAGAGGGAGCGGGATCGAGACCGGGAGAGGGAGCGGGAGAAGGAGCGGGAGCGGGAGTGGGCCGGAGTGCGGGGCTCCGGCGGCGACCTGGCCCACCCTCACCCCCTGCCCTTCTCCCATCACCTGCCCTCTCGCTCCTCCTCTCAGTCCCTCGCCATGCTACCTCCCCCGCCGCCCGCCCCTCCCTCCATCTCTGGCCCGTCCTCCTCTTCCTCTTCCTCCTCCTCCTCACAGGGGGGGATTTACTCCGGAGGGCTGGGTGTGCGGGTGGCCCCCAGCCTCCTGGCCCTGAGGAACAGCCCCCAGCCTCTGAGGAGGACGGCGTCCGGCGGGGGGCCAGGGGGGGCCGGGGGCAGCGACGGCGTCCTGAGCCGAAGCACCTCGGTCACCTCACACATCTCTAACGGATCCCACCTCTCATACTCTTAGTCGAGAGGGGGGTATCTTGCAGGGGGGGAGTGATCTAGGAAGGTAGCTATCTCAGGGTGCATCTCAATACGCTCAGCTTACTCTCATGCCCTCCATCTCACTGATCTCTCCTCAGAATATCTCAAACGCAGAGGATTTAGGGATATCACCCTTTCCTCTTAACGCACAGTGAAGCAGAGATCAGTCGGGGGGGGGGGGGGGAGGACAAGCTGACTTTGCTGAGCTGCTCCTTTAGACTCAGGGGGGGTAGAGAGGCTTTCTCCCATTCCCACTGGTGTATAAAGGGAGGGAGGAATGTAACCACCTGTAATACCACTGGATAGAGGTGGTTTGTGTTCAGTGTTTTTTGATCTTTGTTACTGCCTGTATAAAAGTGAGACAGGAAGTGTGAAATA